ATTTATCCATCCATCCATCCATCTTTCTTTTTATCCGTCCATCCATCTATCCATCTATCCATCCATCCATCTTCCTTTTTATTGTTCCATCCATCTATCTATCTATCTATCTATCTATCTATCTATCTCTGTCTGTCTGTCTGTCTGTCTGTCTGTCTGTCATTCTTTCTATATCCGTCTGTCCATCCATCTATCCACCCATCTTTCTTTTTATTTTTCCATTCTATTTTTTATTCCTATCTATCATTCTGCTCTGTCAATAAGGTTTATAAAAACTTTGTCAAGCCAACATACATACTAATGGACTATGAGTCTTTTGTCCTGTCAGTCATGGACTGTCAATCAAATTTGTATACAAAACCAAATTAACCCCCCAAAAATGATACATTTCACATTTATATGTTCAAAATCACAGGTTTTTGGAATTTGCTCTAGTAAACACGAAATGTACAAGCACTAGCTATGATGGCATTCGGTAGCCAGCCTATCGGGCCGAGTTGTCTCAAGTGAGAAATATGCCATTGTGTTTTAGCATCAGTTTAATTGGATGAGGGTGACAGGAGAATAGAGGAAGGAATTGTCTATGTGGCTGTGTCTAATGGATTCAGAGCTAATTAAGTTCACACAAGAGATCCCCACCATCAGAGGGACATAATGGCAGAATGTGTACGTGTTTGTGGGTTCACCCACACACACGCGAACGCGCTGAGCAGTAAACACAAGTTTGTTTCTAATCACACCAATGTCTCCGTTCTGCATGAGAGGATCAGAGGTGAGCAGCAAGCTCCTATGGGCCTCTCTGAGTATGCATGTTTCTTTGTTTTGGCCTTTTTTTAGATCGTTCCCTTTCACGCCCTCTCCTACTTTTCCTCAATATCGGGCCCGTTTCCTCCCTTCTAATCTCTGTGTCTTTCTTTCTCTCCCTCCATTTCTCAGTGTGTTTGCAGACCTACTCGCCCTCCCTTTGTACGCCCATTTTACGGTATGTTTGCGGTGTTTGAATGTGAGGACGCGAGGACACCGGGGGCCAAAATAAAAGAACAGGATGTTTTGGTGGTTAAGCTAAGACAGAACACATTGAGACTTGAAATTAATCTATTAAAGGGTTAGTGAGAGGCAGTGAGGAAAAATAGCAAAAACAGGTTGGAAATGAATCAAGATGAACACAGATCGACAGTACTGACTGATTATTTGAATGCCGTCTCTGGGAGCATGTGACGATGTGCATGCACAGGCTCCAAAATTAACACCCGTCAAACAATAAATGCAGGTAAAAATGGTTTTGAAAAGTAAATAATAAAAAGGTTACTAGCCAGTGGGTAGTAGGTACTATTAGGAACTGCAACAACTGCACAATACATACAAAGTTCTGGCATGAAACTCTAAATGGCGCAGTCGGATAGATCTAACTCAGTATGACATGACATCATCATCACATGTCACAGCTTATTGGTTCTCTCCTGTATAGGTAGCCAATGAGCTCGCTGCTCAACATTCAAATACTTACCTAATGTTTGTGGTAACAGTTTGCAGCACACTCCAGAAACCCTCCACCTTCCCCAGCTCCACCTGTATAGATCTGCTATGGGGTGATCATGTATGCTATGGGGGTTATTCATATATGTTATATGTGCAGCAGCAGTATTTCTTACATGCTCACAGCAGCATGCTGTGGATGTATTGGCAGTAGCAAGTCTCTGTACTTGCTCTGCCGCAGCAGCAGCAGTGTAGCAGATCTATTCCACCAAGACCAAATACTAGAGATGCACCGAATGACCGGCGCCGATCCTTTTTTATTTAATTTTTTTTCTCGAGCCGATCATTTTATTGCCAACGGCAATGACGTCACAGCCATGTGCACAATCACAGTCGCGTGTAAACATGCTGTTTCACGTGAGAATGATTCTTATTTTAATTGCATTCAGTGTAAACGGCGACTGATAATGTATTTATGTCGTGCCAGATGAGGCTTGCACAGCCTGAGTTGAGTGTGTGAGAGAGACAGCACACACAAAGTAACTCACAGAAACGTATAGATGCATACTGCAGTAGAAAAAAAAAAGATATTTACAAAATATGATTTAGGTAAGCAACATTATACGGCCATGATGTTTGACCTAATATAAATATCAATACGATTGCGATGTGACACTGATTTTATACAATAGTATTTCAATAAACAAGAAGTTAAAATTAAGTGACTTAGATAGGGCTCAAAAGTTAAAAAAATTATATTATATTATATTTATATTAATTTAAACAATTATTATCAAAAAATTATATTCATTTAGTAACATAAATATATATTAGTGTAAGCTATATCTTTAGAGTTTTATAAGTCATTATCTTCTTGTCGATCCACCAGTTCACATTTAAAACTGCGTGTTTTCTGCGTAAAAATAAGGGTCGTTTTTGGCTTTGCTCTAAACCAGTGATCCTCAAATCTGGCTCGCGAGATCCACTTTCCTGCAGAGTTTAGCTCTACCCTAATCAAACACACCTTAGTTTGCTAATCAATGTCTTCAGGATCATTAGAAAATCACAGGTAGGTCTGTTTGATTAGGGTTGGAGCTAAACTCTGCAGGAAAGTGGATCTCGTGAGCCATATTAAAGACGTAATCAATCAAAATCACAAGTAGATTTGTTTGATTATAGGGTTGGAGCTAAACTGCAGGAAAGTGGATCTCGCGAGCCAGATTTGAGGATCACTGCTCTAAACAAAGAGCAGAAGGGCTTATTGAAAAATGCAAATTCATTCTCTGCCAGCAGGT